TTGCACAATTCCTACAAAAGTCCCAACTTATTTTTTTAAGAAATTTTGTACGAATAGGGATTGCCCACATCAACGATCGTTTTTTGTTATTGCTTAGAGAAATCCCCATACAATCAAGAACATTTGGGTTCTCCGTGCTAAGAAAATTTAGCGAGAAGGTGTGGAATGCTTTTTTGAGCAGCGCGCTTTTTTGGAAACACATATCCACAATTTATCAGGAGAATCTAAAAGCTATTCAAAGGACAAACGCCAAAAGAAAAGTAATGCATCTGAACGTAAAATGAAGAGGCTTACTTCCACTCCTGCTACTCTTGCTGCTCCTGCTCCTGCTTTTGCTCTCATAGCCAATGCCCGGCGTTTTGGTCTTTTTTGAATTTGTAAATTTCTGTTTTCAGAATTTTTCAATGCTTTTTCCTGCAAAAGTACTAAAATGCGAATTAGGCTTAAACCAAATTAGTTTCATATAATGGGGCAACTTACCTTAAACTTCTGATTCTTCGAGGAAGTGGAACGTAAAAATTTTGTGCATATAAGCCAACAAAAACGATCAATTTTTTGCAAATAATTAAAGAGGCTATTTCCACTTGTGGGCCACATCAAGAAATCTGCAAGATGCGAGTGAAGGCCAAGGAAGAAAGGCGGGAATATGCAAATTTTTTAATTCATGTGATCCTGAGAACAAGCAGGCGGCATTGGGGTTTTTGATTCTTACAACCACCGACCCTTTCAGCTTGAAAAACGAGATGAGCGAAACTACCCGGCCGTATAAATTTCACTCATTTTCAGTCCTCTTCCCTCCAACCTTTCCAGGTACTCATGCCCCCTTTCACTACCCACACTTCTAATACATTTCCCGCCCATAACTGATAACAGTACAAAGAACTAGTCCCTATGAAGATGACGGGAGTTCGACTTTCCCGCAAAACTCAGCTTAGCTGAAACCGTGCTCCAAAACCGAAAAGCTAGTGGATTACTAGGATGAGGTGGTGCTTGGGTCGAGTGAACCGGAAACACTCCAAGAGGTTTGAAACGCTTATCCCCTTATGTTTACTGCACTTTAAAAAATTTAAAAGGTCTTAAATGATTTTAATTTTGTTAGCTTGTAATCTTGGTACTGAAAAAGCCCAGCTGTGGTAGTGGAAAAGAATGTATACGACTTAATGGACCGACGCATTCCTTTTCAGTTGTTATAGCTACAGTTATTACAAAAAATTAGAATTTTAACTTTTGCAAAGTTTCTTCAAAATAAGTTAGTTTTTGCAAACTTTTCTTTAAAAAATTTTTCCTGTAAAATCCTGATATAGATTCGTTTATTACTGCAATTAATTCGTTTATCTTTTTCAGATTTATAACTACAAGCATCAACTTTTGTTCAAAGAATAACCTCGTTGTTGGTAGCCAGTGCTGCACCCGCACACTGTTGCTCCAACGAGGCTGTACATACACATGCACTGGTTAGCCAGGACTAAAAAAGCATATTCCTGAAGATGCCAAGCTAACTGTAACACAGAAAGACTAGAACAAATAGAACTACGCAAAAAAGCGGGGGTTGATAACGCTACAGAATGGCCAGGATTGTGAAGCTAATAAGAGAATAAAAGTTCAAATGGAAGTTCAGAAACTTGGGCTTATGAAACTCAGTGCCAAAATTCCCCGAGCTAAAAGGAATAATGCAACAGCAAGAAGCGCTAATGTTATACAAAAAGCGAAGCATTCCGCTAAACCAGTTAAAAAACATATCCCTTTTCCATTCATTTAATTGTTTCGATGGTAAATTGGTACTGACATATGATTAGAGAGCCATCAATAACTTCATCAGGAACTGGTTGTTGTTGGCATGTGCTACCACTCGAGCTACTTCCTTTGAAGTTACTCTTAATTCATAAACATTTAAATTCCAACCTCTCCTAAATTAATTTAATTGAAAACAGTCGTACTGACGAAGTCAGCTTTGGTGATGAATAGGAATGTCTACGACTTAATGAACCGAAACATTCTTGTTCATTTGATAAATTCTTTTAACACACTTTTTTCTCACATTTTACACACATTATCACTTATACCTTCATTCCAGCTGTCTGTACCTCGAACTTTCATTTTGACAGTTTTTTAATTGCAAGGAAATCACCGAATACAGATTGTAAAACAGCAAATTCAGATAAGCGAACAAACCGCCAAACAGCAGGGAACAGTATAGAACGCAAAGAAAAAAAAAAAATACGGAGCAAAACGAGTGAGGGGACAGCTGACAAATGAATGACCACCTCAGGGGCCAGTGGAACGCGCAGAGGGGGGAAGGGAGACACAAGTTCTAGCAGCAAACACACACAACACAAATCACCGACAAATGACCGCCTTCCAGTGGACTTTCAGAAGACACTCGGATGCTCACCAAACTGGTCATTGGCGGATCTAGGGCAGAGGCTTAGATAGCAGTTATTTTATTGTAGAAAAGTCTACTTAGAACCCCCTGTCATCCACCCCCCCCCCCCCCCCCCCCCCCCC